TCACTTACACTGGCTGCCTCGTACAGATGTACTTCTTCATGGCATTGGCCTTGCTGGATGATTTCCTGCTGGCCGTGATGGCATATGACCGCTATGTGGCCATCTGCCTTCCTCTCCACTATACCACCATCATGTGTCCCCAACGCTGCCTGCTGCTGGTCGCCTCATCCTGGCTCTGCGCCCACCTCCTGGCCTTCTCACTCACACTCCTCATGACTCAGTTCTCCTTCTGTGCCTCCCATTCCATCCCACACTTTTTCTGTGACCTTCTCCCTGTCCTCAAACTTGCCTGCTCAGACACCCAGATCTTTCAGGTCATGATGTTTGCTGAAGCAGCCCTCGCAGGTGTGGTCCCTCTCACCTGTGTCCTGGTCTCTTATGCGCACATCATGCACACCATCCTCAGGGTCTCCTCAGCTGGGGGGAAGCACAAACTCTTCTCAACCTGTGGCTCTCACCTGACAGTAGTCACTCTTTTCTATGGAACTGTCTTTCTTGTGTATTTCCAGCCCTCTTCTTCCTACTCAGCAGGCACTGGAATGATGGCATCTGTGGTGTACACAATGGTCACCCCCATGCTAAACCCGTTCATCTACAGCCTGAGGAACAGAGACATGAAGGGGGCTCTGTGGAGACTCCTTGCCTGCAGAAGATGTTGCATCTTATAAAGAGACAAGAGTAGACCGGGCTTTTTAAATACTTTCCTCAATGGAATTCTCTATTACAATTTTGAAAAGCTCAAGGTTATGGCAGGATTAATGCTTAGAAGCATAAGCAGGTTTAAGAAATAAAGTTTGCCTGACCTGGCAGGACTGGAATAGAACCATCTAGCCAAGGACAGCTCTGCAGCCTGGATAGAAGGAGTGGACAAAAATCCCAATGGGATTTCAAATAAAAAATGGCACCAAAGTTAAGCAGGCAGAGAAGGCTTTATTCAAGATTCTTGCAATAAGAGTGAACAGAGCTCAGTCTGAGCTAAAGTCTGCTGAGGTAAATGGTAATAGGACTCTTTTTTATTTATTTGTTTGTTTATTGAGGGGGGTAGAGAGAGAGCATGTGCAAACAAGTGACGGAAGGGCAGAAGGAGAGAATCTGAAGCAGGCCTTCTGCTGAGCACAGAGCCAAAGCTTGGGGCTGGATCTCAGGACATTGAGATCATGACCTGAGCTGAAACCAAGAGTCAGACACTTACCCAACTGATTCACTCAGGTGGCCCTGGTAAAAGGATTCTTAAGTGCTGGGGTGATTGGTGAGTTTTTAAAAAACACAGGCCATCCATGTTCCCTAACTGTATTTACACAAAGTTAAAATAAACTTGTCACCTCTCTATGATAGGTGGTAGTTTTGTAACTTGAAACAAGCAACAAGATTTCCACAGTCTCACAAAGAATGGGAGATGTGGGCTTCCTTCCTTGTTCATTGTATTTCAAAGACATGGCTCCCATCTATTGAGTTGGGACATTCTTGCCCTATGAACTAGCAAGAGGCTTTTTACAAGATTGACATCTCAAAGGAGCAGAGAAAGAATTTATGATCATAAATTTTCTAAAGTAAATATTCTAAGAAAATTGAGGTCAAAAGCCTAAAGTTGGAAGAAGCTTGTAAAAAAGTTCATCAACCTGAAGAAAAGGTAAAGGCCATTTTGGTTGTGACTTAATGAATAGGTATAGGTGTGCAAGCCAATTCAAACCAGAAAGTGGGAATCAACAAAAGAATGACATCAGACAAAACTCAGGTTCTAGGAGGAAGCCCAGTTAGTAGTTCTATGACTAACAGACCCCCACTCAACTATAAGAAATGTTCACAAAACTTGGAAGGGTCAAATGCTCTGAGATTCAGGGACCATTTCTAAGCCGAGCTTTGCAGTGATTCATTCACAGGGACTAACTTAGCCACAGAGAAAGCTAAACCACGAAGACACACTATTTGCTAGAACTAAAAGAACAAGAATATTTCTAGAAGAATCTAGGCATAGAAAGATTTCAGGACTGGCCCAAAATCACACAACAGGGATTGGATCTAAGATTCTGCCAGTGAGTGGTTATTAATTAATGGGACAAGTCCTTGATTCTTTGGGTTTTCATCTCTAGTTTATTTTGTTTGTCTCCAAGCAAAATATTTTTTGCAGTAAACATCATAATAAGAATATAAAATGTAAAGAAGTAGGAAAAAGGAAGAAATCAGCCACCCTCCCCCCTATTTAAAGACAATCAATGTTGGGGCTCAGTCAGTTGAGTGACTGATTCTTGGTTTTGGCTCAGGTCATGATCTCTGGGTTGTAGGATTAGATCCCCTACTCACTAGGGAATCTACTTGAAGAGTCTCTCCCTTTGCCCTCCCCCCACCCTGCACTCTCTGTCTCTCTCTCAAATGAATAAATAAATCTTTCCAAATATAAAGACAATCAATGTTCATACTGTACATCATAACCTTCTGTCTTTTGCAAAATGCTCTGGTTTCTGCTTTCACGAGGAAATGCTGTACACACAATTATACATTCTTTTTATTTAATCTGTAACAGGAATTGTCTCCCTTTGACTTCTGTATATCTTTCTTTCTGTACAGTAATATTGAGGGGACATTGTGCAATATGATTGCTCTTTTCCTGAGAAAATCTCTGAGGACAGGAATCTTATTTTGGCAGGACAGTAAAGTATCATAAAAAATAGACATGGTATAAGTGGGAGAGAAATTGAGGGGAAAGCTGGGCAGAGCAGAACAGGATCCGGTCTTCCTCCATGAGAGCCCTGGCAGCCTGAGAAGAAGGGAGCACAGTTAGATGTGTTTTGCTGGGAGAGGAGCTACTGCTCAGGGGAGGATTGTACTGTGGCTGGAGCATGGCACAGGGAGCAGGACGTGCCCCTCATGAGAATCACACAGTATCAGCAGAGCATCTTTTTGTAACATTAAAAAAAATTTTTATCTCTGTCTACCTTGATGTTGATATTCCCAGTTAATTCTTCGCCTTTTAAAAGTTCTCGATCTTTTTATGTAAAGAAGTTTTGAATCTGTATATTATGTCAAACACTTTTGCCTTGTTGTGGCTCTTCTGCTGGTCACAGAATAGAAAAATCTCTGTGCAGAGTTCATAGGAACAGGCAAACTTTCTTCTCATTTTCTCACGATGTATGATTTCTTACAAAATTACTTTAGAAGGAAATCAGATAGTTCAAATGGTTCTTTCTGAACATATTCCCCCTCGCTTCCTGCAAGAGTTTTCTCCCCCTTTCTTGTTTTGCTTTTGGTGCTTGTTTGTTTCATGCACTTATTAACATATAGAAATACTAGGTGTTTTCTGCTTGCTTCTCTCACATAAACCTGGTACATTACACCTCAGGGTCTTTCCCTCTGGTTTTTCCTCTCCATGGTGCCTTCTCTTTCTCCAGCCCAACTAAGACTCCTCCCCTACAGGGATCAGAAGGAAGGGATCCACTGGTAATTTGCATCTTCTTCTTTTTCTTTTAAATCGTGTTCAGTTAGCCACTGTATAGTACATCATTCGTTTTTGATGTAGTGTTCAACAGTTCATTAGTTGCTTATTAACATGTGTTAAAGCTGTTGAGTCATTCAAAAGGAGTTAAACTATGCAGGCAGGAACATTTTGAAATTCTCTTTAGTAGATTAATTAATTCTCAGTCCTTCCTGTACAGAATGATAGAGTTTGAAACAAACAGATATCTCAGATACTGTGGCCAAGCTAGGTCAGCAGTGAATATTTTGCTCCTAGTCACCAAGGACAGCAAATACAAAAGCAAGGAAGGAAATGCAGAATCCAACATGGAATGTATTCAGAGCCTCACCTAATTTCACCTGGGACCATCAGAGCAGTGCAATGACTCTTTGAATGGTGTCTACACAGCCAACCAAGGCTTGATTTCTACTTCACAGACAACTCCAAGTATGAGAGACCTTAGCTGAACACAGAATGTTGCAAGCAGGTCTTTCTAACTCAAAGCTCACCCTTCTTTTGCTACCTTGTGCTGCCTCCCAACTCCCCAAAACTACATACACAAAAAGGCAGCTCATAATGAAATGGACAAGAGGCTAGACTAGATGTGCCATCAAAAAAAATGTATAGATGAAGGGTCAATAAACATAAAAAAGCTCTCAATATGATCAGTCATCAGAGAAACGCCCATTAAAGTCACAGCACAATATCAACAAACACATACCAGAATAATTACAACTGAAAAGACAGACAAAATGACAAGTAATGGCATGATATGAAGCAGTAGTACCAGACATTGCTAGTGAAAGTGTAAATTTGTAGAAGAGTAGAATTACTTCATAGTATCTACTTAAGTTGACATATGCCTTATCCTTTGAGCCAGAAACTTCATTCAACCAATATATCCAAGACGAATCCAAAAGGCAGGTATAAAAATGTCCTTAGCAGTGCTGTCATAACCAGAAGCTGGAAAAAACTCAAAGATCCATCAACAGTAACATCAACAAATAAATTCTAGGATATTCATCAGTGCAATTCTACATAGCGATGAAAATGAATCAACCTACTGTTTTGGTTTTGGTGGGGTGGAGGGGCAGAGAGAGAGGGAGAGAAAGAATCTTTTTTTTTTTAAGATTTTTATTTATTTGTTTGACAGAGAGAGATCACAAGTAGGCAGAGAGGCAGGCAGAGAGGAAGAGAGGAGGAAGCAGGCTCCCCGCCAAGCAGAGAGCCCGATGCAGGACTCGATCCCAGGACCCTGAGATCATACCCTGAGCTGAAGGCAGAGGCTTAACCCACTGAGCCACCCAGGCGCCCCAGAAGAGAAAGAATCTTAAACAGGCTCCTCATCCAGCACAGAGGCTGACGTGAGATGCTCAATCTCTTGACCCTGAGATCATGACCTGAGTCAAAATCAAGAGTTGGTCACTTAACTGAGCCACACAGGCACCCCAAATCAACTACTGTTAAATGTAAATATATGGATGCTTCTCATATTATTGGGTAAAATGAATCTTAGATTAAAAACTATGTACTGGCAGATTCCATATGCATAAACTTCAAAAACAGACAAAACTAATCAATGTAGTTAAAAGTGGGGTTGTTCTTGGAGGAATGAGAGGACTGGTGATTGAAAGGACACACAAAGAGGTTTCTGGGTTAATCTTCAGGTTCTCTTTCATGACCTAAGTGCTGACTCAGTTAGTATGTGTGTTTTGGAAAAATTAATCAATCCATACATTTAAAATGTTGTACACTTTTCTGTATACATCAATAATCCTTCAATGAAATATGTACTTGAAAACTTAAAAATGCATAAAGATTGAAATAAGTCAAGCAGAGAGAGTCAATTATCATATGGCTTCACTTATTTGTGGAGCATAACAAATAGCATGGAGGACGAGGGGAGTTAGAGAGGAGAAGGAAGTTGAGGGAAATTGGAAGGGGAGGTGAACTATGAAAGACTATGGACTCTGAAAAACAATCTGAGGGGTGTGAAGGGGTGGGGGGTGAGAGGTTGGGGGAACCAGGTGGTGGGTATTGGAGAGGGCACGGATTACATGGAGCACTGGGTGTGGTGCAAAAACAATGAATACTGTTATGCTGAAAATAAATTAAAAAAAAAAGACTGAAATTAGAAAGTTGAGGGGTGCCTGGCTGGCTTAGTTGGTAGAGCATGCAACTCTTGATCTTGGGGTGTTGAGTTCAAGCCCCATGTGT